ATTTTCTTTTTAAAAGAAGAAAAAGTTGTACATGTAAATTAAGGCATAAATGCGAGTATTTAAAATGGAAAAAATTAATTTCAGCTGTAAAAAATGTCATAAATATCATAAAATTAAGAGTATAATATTTGTATTAATAAAATCCCAGACACATCTCAGAGTATTGGGTGGTGAGAGTGTTCTTAGAAACCATTTCGACATCAGAATAGATAGCATTATTCAATAAAAAATTTGAACCTTATTAAAATGCCCATTAAATGTCAAATGAAATATTATTACCACAATCTCTCTTCACCGGGCCCCACGAATATCTGCAGACATGCCAATACACTATGCTATTAGTTTGAAGTGTGATGGAGTAGAAATCAGAATAAAATGAGAAAGTAAGCTTAGTTGACTGAGGTTAAAATATTTTACATTTACAACTTTTACTAAGATGTTTCACTTTGCGACCGTATCGCTAAGGCCCCACGTAGGACCTTAACAGTGGCAATGAGAGATCCAACATGTGAAACTTTATTAACTTCATATTATCTCTGTCTCTCTCTTTTAGAAAATCAAAATTCCACAAGAATTCTCAGACAAAAATGTAAGTGTATTAAAGAAAAACTGTGATGCCATTGTGTAGATGAAATGAAGTCCAATATTTCTATATTAATACTTATATGGCTTTTTTAAAAAATCAGTGGATATGTTCCAAACACTGCTGACTCTGGTTAGAGTTTAACTTGCTGTAAGAATGCAGGTGTTTCCTATGGATCTCTCTTCTTGGGAAGTAAAAGATACTATTACTTATTTGAATTTTAAAATCAGATGTGAGTCTATGGCCATGTTACCCTGAACAAGCCTGATCTCGTCTGATCTCCAAAGCTAAGCAGGGTCGGGCCTGGTTAGTACTTGGATGGGAGACCACCTAAGAAGACCAGATGCTATAGGCGTAAAAAATAAAAAAATAACAGATTGTAAGCTGACAAGGTCCTTGCAATCTGTGAGGTCAACCAAGGGTTGCCTCACCAAAATAAATAAATAAATAAATTTAAATAAAAATAAATAAAAAATAAAATCAGATCTGGGAATTATGTTGTATGCACTATTATGAAAAAAAAATGTCAATCTGTCTACAAAGATTGTAATTTGCTCAGATGACACTTCATGAAAGCTAATAAAAACCCTCTGTTCTTCCCAGAAGAGCTAACTGGACTAAATGGGCCAACAGAATCTGACATCGCTGACTGAATTTATTCTGATGGGAGTCACGAGGCAGCCTGAGCTGCAGGGTCTGCTTTTTGGAGTCTTCCTCATCATCTACACAGTCACAGTGGTGGGCAACCTGGGTATGATCATCTTGACCCAGGTGGACTCCCGCCTACACACACCTATGTATTTTTTTATCAAACACCTGGCTTTCATTGATCTTGGTAATTCTACCGTCATTTGTCCTAAGATGCTAGTAAATTTCATTAGGGATCAAAATACCATTTCATATTATGCATGTGCCACACAATTGGCTTTCTTCCTTATGTTTATTATCAGTGAATTTTTCATCTTGTCGGCCATGGCCTATGACCGTTATTCAGCCATCTGTAACCCTTTGCTCTATAATGTTATTATGTCCCAGAGACGTTGTCACATGCTAGTGGGTATTCCATACCTCTACGGTACCTTTCAGGCTCTAATGTTCACTATTAAGATTTTTACCTTGACCTTTTGCGGCTCTAAAGTCATAAATCATTTCTATTGTGATGATGTTCCCTTGTTACTTTTGCTCTGCTCAAATGCGCAAGAAATAGCATTGTTGATCATATTATTTTCAGCACTGAATTTGCTCTCTTCCCTGTTGGTAGTTTTAATATCATACATCTTGATTCTGATAGCTATATTTCGGATGTATTCTACAGAGGGCAGGAAAAAAGCTTTCTCCACATGTGGTTCTCACCTGACAGTGGTAATTGTGTTCTATGGGTCTCTGCTATTTATGTACACACAACCCAAATCCACTCACTCCTTTGATACTGATAAAATGGCCTCCGTGTTTTACACTTTGGTGATCCCCATGCTTAATCCCTTGATCTACAGCTTAAGGAACAAAGAGGTAAAAAATGCCTTCCACAGGGTCTTTAAGAATCCATGCAAACTTTGTATTTAACATTCAACATAGAATATTGTTCTAATAACCTAAATGTCACTTAATATTTCTAATACATATAATTATATTCTTTTTTACTTCAGAGCAAAGAATAATCATAATGCACAGATAGACTGTTTCTCTTATATTCAACCAAATTAATCCTCATATCTTATATCTCAATTAAACAACACTTCCTCTTTAACATTTCTTGTTTTTGAATCACTATTTCTTTTAATAATCCTATAGAATCTGACATTTCTTCCAGCTGAAACACATTAAATTCTACCTCAATAAACTGTGTGTTTGTTTTGTTCTTTTAGAGTAGGTATCTACCATCTTGTTTTTATTCTATTTTATGAATGTCACATAAGAGTGTAAACAAAGTGAGCCTCTTGCAGACAGCATATACTTCGATCATAATTTTTAAAAATCTATTCTGCAAATATCTGCCTCTGGATAATTTACTCCATTTACATGTAAAATAATTACAAATAATGAAGACCTACTTCTAGCATGTTGCTGTTTGTTTCCCATACATCCTCTCTTTCTCTTGTAGCTCACGTTTTTCTCCATTACAAGATATTCTTGAGTTTGTGGTTGAACACTAACTTGGGGATGCCTACAGTGAAAGTCCATAAGACTGTGAAAAAAATAATCAGGGAATTGTAAGCTGAACAATTCCAGAGATCACACAGGGCATGAAGACATTAGAGTTCCCAAATCTAGGGAATAGAGTCCTCTTTCAACACTGAGGCATCCAGTAGAGATAAAACCCACTTAGACTTCTGCTGTTCCTCCTCATATAGTTTGAAAATAAGCCTCAAAAAGAGCCATCTGATTTTTGTTTAAAACATTTAGGACTCTTTTAGGGAGACAGAAAAAAAGTTATAGCACTCGTTAACACAAAATTCATAATATTCTACATCCAATCACAAATACTAGACATATATAAAAACAAGAACAGGTGATTCCACTCAGGAGATAACATAAACCATGAAATAAAAGTAATGATACAATTATTGGGCAAAAGCCTTTAAAACATTTTATAAATATGTTTGTAGTATAAGTCCTGCCATTTGTGTTTTTTTTTTCTTTTTTAGTGCGAGTCTCTGAATTAAGTTTTGATTAACAAGGAATCCATCCCAAAGGGGCATCCTTCAAAGACTGCTATCTTGAATAAACACATTGCTAGCCACCACTAGACTTTAAAAAGCCAGGCTGCCTTCCCCATGGAGGTTCTTTTATTTTGGACATTTTGGTTGATTTCAACAATGGACCATCTGGGCTACTTGTTTGTTTTCTTTTCCCGAGCTTTAAATTTCCACTCTTCTGTTTTAAATTGACTAATAAAGAGTAAGTCTAGAGAACCCTAGACCCCCACCCTAGAGCCCAATAAAACAGAATCCCAGGCCCCTTGAGTGGTCTCTACTTGTAACTTCACTGTTTGATCCCAGGTCTACTATGTTATGAATTACTTGAAACCTGTATCTTTTTAGTTTCCTGTTGGTTATTGCTGAAGGGCAACTTTGCAATCATAATAAGAACAACAAGGACTAATCCGGCCACATCATTGGATATTGATAGGCTGAGACTAGTATGAAAGAATGTTCAATATACGGAATGATTTAAAGAAAACATTAACTTTTTGAGGAGATAGATGAAAGATTTAAAAAAAAAAATGGGACCTCTAGAAATTAAAATACAACACTGTATGGAAACAAATTTTTTTTGAATGAGAGTAATAGCAGATTATAAAGCAAATTATACACCAAAAAAGAAATGTTAATGTAGCAGAGTGAAATGCTCACTCTTTCTCCCTCTGACTCTGGTTAATAGTTCCTGCTATAGATATGCTAATGGACTAGAAGAATTCTTGAGGCTTGAGTGTTTTGCAAAAATAGCCCCTAGTCCAAAGAAGCTTTTGCTGGAGAGGTGGGGAAATGTGTTAATGACTGTTTACCAAAGATTTACAAGAACCTCAGGACAAGACTCAGATCACCATGAACAAGATGATTTGGAGATTTCGAGGTCTTCCTTGGATCTTAATTCTTGCCCTGCCTCTTCTGGATAAAGGGTGCTGGAACTCTAAAGAAAGATTTGAGAAACCATTGAAAGCTCCTATCTTCTCAGTCAGCATCTTCTCATCAATAAACCTTTCCTTATTCCAAATTTTGATATATTGAATATTGGCTGTTTTTAAACATTGGGCACATGAACCTTGTGTTAGCAACAATAACTACACTTAAACATATCATAATAGAGGCTACCCAAAATGAAGCCAGAGAGAAATTAAAATACTGAATAAACACCACAAAAGTATTCTCAATGATCTGTAGAACAATAACAAGCTATATACTGTACATTCAAATGTAAGTCTAAGTTGAAAGCGGAGACTATATAGGGCAGGAAAACCATTGGAGGAAATGTTGGGCACATTTTTTCCAAATTTATTTTTTTAAAAAACCTATAATTCCGAAGATATAAAAAGTTAAGATAATCTTAAGCAAAATAAACAGAAAGGAAATTACACCAAAGTATATCACAATAAAATTTCTGAAAACCAATGATAAAGAGAAATCAGTTGAAAAATACTTTATGAACAGATGAAGAAAAAAATTTACCACTGATTTATTGGCAGATACAAGTCATAAGACATTGTCTTATGTTAACCTATGATTAGATATACAGCAAAAATACTCTTACTTAAGAGATGTTATATTATCAAATGTTGCATAATCTTATTTTAAGAAGTCAATTTCATTTACTCACACATTGTGTGTGTGTGTGCGTAACATACCTAATATGTGCAGGATATAGTGTAACTGAGATGCTGACAAAGGCATATTTATGATTTCCAGTGTTTAATAATTTTGCCTAATTTATTTATTCAGATAGACCTAGGCATGAAGTATCTTTGACTTTTCCTAATGGGACATTTCAAGAATAAACAGAAATCAAGGGCACTCTCCCTCAGGTAATTACATGCAATTTATAATTCTTGAATCAGATCAAAACTAACAAAATGAATCTCAAGTGGGTAGAAAAACACTTAAATACATTCTCCAACAACCAATGAGAATTAAAACAGTAGGACGTCAAAGCAGATTCTCCCCTAAGGTGAGTAGAAAATACTGGTTTGAAAATTTCTTAGGGCATACAGCTTAAACTGGATCATCATTAAAGATCTCGAAGAGCATTATGCTCTGCAAAACTGTTTATTTTTCCCTTGCAATATACATTTCTGTCATTAATAGGATTAATGTTCAGGACAGATCTGACACTCTGTGGAGTGGATTTAGACCATCTGAGTTTTCCAGAGAACTTACTGATACAATCATCAATTTTAACAAGGGTTTTTTGTCTATCTTTATTTACCATGTGTCGTCCCTTCTGTACCCTTTTTATTTCCTATCTACTCAAGGTGACCTTAATATAAAGGAAGCATTATATTTACAAAATATATTCTGAAAACATAATGACTATTTGAATCTCGATTCCACCATTTGCTATCTGTGACCTTGGTTAAATTATTTTACTCCTTGTGCCTCAGTTTCCGTGACTTTCAAATGAATATGGTAAGACTATCTACTTTGTAGAGCTACCGCATGGATCATATGAGTTAATATACGTAAGTATATGTAAAGTGCTCATAACAGTGCCTGGCACATAATAAGTTCTCTATCAGTGCTTTATATTCATTTGTATTCTTCCTTTTACTGGGCCTTTTTACATGCATCTCCATTTAGAGTTTTAAATAACCACAGTGCCCAAGTTCTCTTTATGAAAAAGAGGGGTATATGATCAGAAGATATTAGAAGTGATATAATAGGCAGAAACAACAGATGTGTTAAGAGGGGACTAAGATATTAATAATAAAATCCTAATATTAATGTATTACAACATTAGATTTTATGTTGGATAAACAAGCTGAACTTACAGTGATAAGTACTGAAATATATATTAATGGTCAGGCTTTTCCCAATCACTGCCTTATCCATCACTCCACCAACAGATTAGGAAGTTTTTTTATGTCTCGCTACTTTAAACAGATATGATAACTGTCAATAATGTAAGGTATATGGTTTAGGTGTCCATATGTGTTTACAAATTACTTGAAATTTTTAAAAAGCTGAAATATAATAGATAGATCTTTTATATACTTAAAGTGACTTTGGATCAAAAAAGTATGTGATAGGAGATATATCAAAACAACCACTTCAAAATATCTTGCCTCTTTAAAGCAAGCTTTACCAAAGTTTCAATGAAAATGTATTTATGTCAATTTCAGCCTGTCAACAGTGATACTATCAGCTAGGAATGCCTGAGGGCACATACCTCTGTCCTGTGTCAAGCCCCCTAGATATTTCCCCACCAGAACCAATATTGTGGCTGAACCAACCCTTGTTATTCTTACCATGATTCACCATCACCAACAACCATCAGGGAACTTTTAAAATAAGGTTTCTTACTCTGGTCTTGGAGGGTATTTGCCTCACAAGGTCCAGGTAAAGAGAGAAAAAGAACATGTGGACCTGGGGTTCTGCTTTTATTGGGGTCAAGGGCAGGCTGCCTACATTTACTCTTTATTGACGAATTTAAAACCTAAGAGCAGAAATTAAAGTATAGAAAGGGAGAAGCAGGGTTATTCAAGCAATCAGTTACTTAGGTCACCCAGGGATTTGTGAAAGGGAACTTCACGGGTGGTATGCCTAGGTCTTTATTTAATTGTGTAGCCAGCTATACATTTATTTATTCCAGATAGATGTCATTCAAATAATGGTCTCCACAATCAAAAGCTGCATGTCAGAAACACATTAGAATCATAAAAGCTGACTGTCAGGAATTTACACTAAAATGTGTAGTTTTGGCTTGATGGGAAAAGGAGTCTCTATTTATAATTTAAGACAAAGAAAATGTCTCTAAATCTCATAAGTCCTGTATTAAATTCTTTTAGAAGATACCATCTCCAATATAAAGTATTGATTTTATACCTTACACAGGTTACCAAGAACCATATG